GACATAAAGAAAAGATAAAAGCAATGTAGGATTATTAGTGCTTGATGGAATTGGCTGTGCCTCAGGGGCACTGTGGTGGGAGTGGCTCAATAAACCTAAGCTCCCTGTGGGAAGAGCAAAGACAATCCAATGTTGTCCTACTTGAAATTTCAGATGCAGAGTCTCTTAAGTCTCTTTTTTACTGATGACAGAGTGAGCAGAATTTTCCCAAAAGAGTTCAAAAAATTATCTCTGGTTTAGATTTGTAGATTTAAACCCCTCCCTGCTATGGTCTTGGGGAGCCACCTCTTTAGAGAGGTGGCATGCTGAAATCACCTCATCCTACCTCACTATGCCCTGTTAGAGAGCAGGAATTGGGTGGCAGTGGGGGAAGAGAGATTCTGTGTCTCATTGTCATTCATTCACATTCACCCTGCATTCAAATATTTCGAATATTCACTAGCCTTTGAATATAAGGAGATTCATTACATTAAGGGAGGAATTTGATACTTGACATGGAGCTGATATTTTCATAGTGTGAGAAATATCAAGCTGACATTCTGCTGTCTCAGTGCTGATTGCTTCCAAATGTCAAAGAGCAGAAACTTGTTCGCGGGACTTCAGGGCTTGAGGAGAGTGTCAATTTAAAAGACATGCACATCGACTTCTTATTCATTTAAACACACTAAATGGAGTATGAAAAGCAGGTGGAGAAATCAAGGGAGAAAGGGAGAGCAAAGGAGAAACCTATTGACAAGAACATTTAAAATAGACTGTTGTACTTTGACATTCGTTTCATGGATGCTTTGCAGACAGCAACCGCCAAGGACTGCCTCCTCCTTCTCCCGACAGCTGCAGCCTTACCACTTACGTGATTTCACTTGTGTCGCTATGTGAAATTTGGGAAAGTGAAAATAGGATTTAGAACATCTGATTTTTTTTTTTTGTAGATCATCTGTAGTTAGCACATCAAATAACTAAAATTAATATTTTCCTACCATGTTTAATACTTACATAGCTTTAAACTAAGTATCAAAGGTCTCAGTGATAGCTTACATTAAAAATGTATTATTTTGTGGGGCCAAAGAAGTAGGACAGTGGATAAGGCACCTGCCTTCCACGGGACTCATCCAGGTTTGATCCTCAGCACCACATATGGTACCCTGAGGAGTAACCCCTGACCATCACTGGGTATGTCTCCAAAACAAACAAAAATGTATTCTTTTGCTCACCAAACTTTTTAGCAGCTAATATTTGAATTTACTGAACTCTACTATTTTGAAAATAACTGAAATAAAATTTTATTTAACTGAAATAAAATTTTATTTATTTAGTGTATGTTTGGGGGCCATACCCAATGGTGCTCAGGACTTGTTCCTGGCTTTGTGCTCAGGGATTACTCCTGGTAATGCTCAGGGGACCAAATATGTTGATAGGTATCAAATCTAGATTGACTGCCTGCAAGGCATGCTATATTATAGCTTTGGCTCCATGAAATAAATTTTATTTTATTAAACAAATTGGTCACATCAAAGATAATTATGAGCTTAACTAAAATTTTGTCTTTCCAATGATGTGCTCTGCTTTGCTGTTAATTATCCGGGGTCACAGAAATCCCATGGCATCTTGAAAGAATATTTCTCTCGCAGTCCATCTTGTTCATTTCCTGTCCTCAGAAGTCAGAATCTTTTGCCTTTTAACCCCCATGCACCCCTAACCTTGCCTTTTTTCTTTAGCAACGGTGTGGATGATTTTAGTGAGAGTAACAAGGAGTTGGAGGAATAAAATCAGTTCCTTTGGGTCTGACTTCTATTGGTCTAAGATGAGAGTCATGGCGTAGCCATTGAAACCTTCAATTTATCTAAAAAAATATTGTGTGACAAAAGCAAAAGTTGAGAGTTTTTCCTGGAGTGAGAGCAATTTCTTTGGGAGGGGTACAACATTTTAAGTTGTTAGAAATTCACAGGGCAAGCCAGACAGACTGTTGGCAGTAAATGCTTCAGATGACCACAGTCATCTGGTTCATTTAACTGGAGTGGCAATGGAAGCACTAAAAATCTTGCTGCTCTCTCAGTATTGCATTTCACTACTGAGCTTCAGGACTTACACTCTAAAATAAACAAATAGGAATAGCCCATGTCTGACCAGGTTATACCCCATGATTGAGGCTCTAAAGGACTGACCCCTGTGAAGGTGGAAGCATAAAAATGCCACTTTAGACCTGGAGCACATACTTCACATGTGGGAAGCCCAGGTTGGACCCCTAGATCCTCAGCCCCATACGGTCCGCCCAGCACTCTAAGCACTGAGCTGGTAGTGGTGCCTGAGACCTGATGGTGGCCCTACCCTGGTATGATGCTCACCTTGGTGCATATCTCCCCAAACTTCCTGGGCTACTCCAGGAATACCCAAAGAATGCCAGGGAGAGTGGGTTCAACTCATTCCTTTTGTATGGGTTAAGGAAAAAAGATTCCAGAAATCTAGCCCTGGTCCACATCTTCTGCCAGTTACAGTGGGAGGTGAGGGGTGGGGTTGTGGAGAGGCAGTTTCATTGCCCCTGAGCCTCTCTGGGTTTCCAAGACCACCTGTATTCTCTACTATGAGTCCCGCTAGGGTAGAGAACTTATCTGTTCTGTTAATTTCAGTGTCTCCAGCAGAGTTCAACTCTGAACTAGATTTGGGCCAACTTTCACCACCACTGTCATCTCCTCTAGCACCAATCAAGTCTGCTCATCTGTCTACATTTTTCCTGCCTCTCCACCCCATCTGCACAGATACACACATTTAATCGGAGTGGCAATGAAAGCACTAAAAATCTTTCTGCCCTCTCGGTATTGCTTAGGTTCTTCCATTTCTGAATTTAAAGGTGGTCATTTACTACTGAGCTTCAGGACTTACACACTTGTGGATGCCTCGGATATCACAAAATAAACAAATAGGAATAGCTCACATTTGACCAGATTATATCCTGTAATGGCTCCATGAAATAAATTTTTTTTTATTAAACAAATTGTTCACATCAGAGATAATTATTAGATTAACTAAAATTTAAGCTTGGGCTTCAAGTATATATTCTTTTTTTTTTAAAGACATGGTAATTTTCACAAATTTAGTTTTATTTGCTATATTTATAATAAATTATTGAATGAGTTACCAAGTCTTTTTTTTTCTTTTTGGGACACACCCAATGATGCTTAGGGGTTACTCCTGGCTCTGCACTCAGGAATTACTCCTGGCGGTGCTTGGGGGACCATGTGGGATGCTGGGAATTGAACCCGGGTTGAATGCGTGCAAGGCAAATGCCCTACCCTGTACTATGGCTTCGGCCCCTCAAATATAGAATATATACATGTAACCTAGGTATGTTTTATGTCTTTAGCAATGATAAGATTATTTATTTTACAAGTATTTTACAATCTTATTATTTCATTTTTACTTTGGACAAACTGGCAGGCTACCAAATGTAACCTGCCCACACGGCAGAGTCTGGCAAACTCCCCGTGTCGTAACCAATATGCCAAATACCAGTAACAATGATGGGTCTCATTCTCCTAACCCTGAAAGAGCCTTGGATTTCTGGGCTAGGATGAAGTAGATGTTACTGGGGCCTGCTTGAGGCAATCGACGAACAACAGGATGGTCGTGATCGTGAGCGTGATTTTACAAGTAAGATGGAATGTTTTCAAGAGTTATGAACAGAGCAGGGACATGATCTGCCCCATGCATTGTTTATTGTTTGTTTTTGCACCATAGACAGTGACACTCAGGGGTTATTCCTGGCTCTGCACCGAGGAATTACTCCTGGTGATGCTTGGGGGTTTATATGGGGCGCCAGGGATCAAGCCCAGGTCAGCTGCATGCAAAGAAAGCATCCTGCCCAGTGTACTATAGTTTTAGTCCTACCTTATATTTCAAAGAGGGAGTTTCTTTTGTGGAAAATATACCATAGGCTGTGAGGAAGAAAATCAGGAAGACCAGCTAGGGGCTGTGCTGATGACAGGAGAGACCATGGGGCCTGAGGAGGTAGAGGCGGGAGCACTGTCAGTTGAGTGTACTAGAACATTCACCTGCGTGGGGAAAGAATCAGAAAACTTTGCCTCTTGTGGGAAAATACTCTCTTGTGCATGCAGAGCTGGACAATGAAAATGTTCTGCCTTCCTGTATGCAAACATCTGTGTGCGTTTATAAGGAGGGTACTATACCCTGTCTTTTCCCATGGCAACATACCCTCCCCCCCCCTCGCCCCCCTTTCCCATCTTGGATCACTCTGACTAGTTTTCCTGCATGCATGAACAAAAGGCCAGAAGCCTGGGCTGTTTCTGCAACTGAGTTGATAGGTTACAAATGCTGGACACCAAAAGGTGAAAGCATTTACATAAAAGCCATAAAAATCACACCCACTGGCACCAGAATAGTGGCAAATGCAGTGGCAATCAACAATCAAACATGGGGTCTCAGCGCCTAGAATCACCACCCTAAATCCTCTGTCTCGAAAATCCCATATATATATACATATATATATCTCCCACCCCTTATTAACTTACCTAATACATACACCTAAAAATTCGTGAAGAGACAGAGTCACTTTTTCTCACACTCCCGGGGTGTAACCTTACTGATTAGCCATCCTTAAAAACAAGCCTGACTTAGAAAAAAAGGCCACTCTCCTGGCTTTTGTCTCCTCTCTGACATTCCGGGATATACTTTGCTTTAATAAGCTGCTGTTTATTTCTCTTGGACTCTTTCCTGATGGGAAGTCCGTGACCCGCTTCGCCCTGCCAAGCCTCGATTGAACTTTTTCTACCATAGGAAGTTCAGAGAGGCGATCAGGTGTGGTGGGGATGCAGGTGAAAAGCTGAAAAGTAAAGACAGTAAAGGGAGACGCAAAAAAGGGGAAAAAAATAAAATAAAAAAGGGTTGCTACTGAATAATGTTGACTATAAGAGGGGATCAAGACGGCGCGGGGCGTGGCTGCGACCCCCGGCGAGTGCTGCTGTTCGCTGGGATGCAGGGAAACCCAGATGCGCCTGTGGACAAGCTCAACGCTTCCCACAGCGTTTCTTCCCGCAGCGGCCGCGAGCTCGGCCGCCCAGCCGTGCGGTGGGGGAAGGAGGAGCGACCGGCTGCGCGGCGGGAGCGTCTCTCGGCTGCACGCTTGTCCCCGGCGCGGGACGCTGCTAGGCCCCGGCCAGGTCACCCCCAGGTGGCTCTCGCGCGCGCCCGGCGATGGCGAGCGCCCCCTGGTGGTCGCGCGGCCGCACTGCTCGGCGGCGGCGGCCATGGCGGAAGCGGCGGCGGCGGCCGCGGTGGAGCCGGTGCGGGAGGAACTGGAGGCCTTGGCGGCAATTTTCTGCGGGCCCGGCGAGTGGGAGGAGCGCAGCCGCTCAGGTGACTCCGGGGGGCGCGGGAGGGAGGGGGGCCGCTCACCCCGGGGGCGCCCGGGCCGGCTCAGAAAGGAGGAGCCCGCGTCCCTGCCCCTCCCCCCCCGTGCCCCTCCCCCCTATACCCCGCCCCTCCCCCCTCCCCCGTGTCCCACTCCTCTGCCCCTCCCGCTCCCCGCGTCCCACATCCCCGCCCCCACGTCTCCGTGTCTCACTCCCCTTTCCCTCCCTTCTCCCCACTCCCCCGCTCCCCACTCCCCTGCTCCAGTTCCACCCCCGTCCTTCCCCTCTCCCTTCTCCCTAGTCCCCTTCCGGGCTTCCCCGCTACTCTGCATCTCCCCCAGCCTCCTCCTCCCCCTAATTTCCTTTCCCCCAGCCCCCTCCCTTCCCCAAGCCCCTGCACCTCTCGCCTCTCTGTACACTAGCGCCCCCTCCTGGAATGCTCCTGCAACTGAGCTTCCCCCTTGTTCAACTCGCAAAAAAAAAAAAAAAAAAAACCACAAAAAAGCCCCCTCCCAGCACCTCTAATTTAAACCCGAGTGCAGTTTATGAAACCCTGCCTGGCCCTCCGGGGGCGCCCTCTCCGCAGCTTTTAGTGACAGCTCTGGCTGTCTCGAGGCGAGTGAGGGCAGAACATGATTCTGTAATCACAGAGCTCCAGGCACCTAGAGTGAAATTGTTGAAAACGTTTGTGGCTATCGCCCCTGCAGAGCCTGAACCTTTGCAGTTGCAGTTAATTGCATTTCTCCTGACTTTTTAAACTTCACTGATAAGTGGTTTCCAATGACCAGCTTTTGGGGGCGTCTTCACATTCAACCCGTGACTTCTGAATTTCCAGAAACACCCGCACTCTTCAAGGATTGGTCCGTGTCTTTAAGGAACTTAACACTCTAGAAGAAGTCCATGGCCTCTTTTTGATGATAAATTTATTTTTTGATGAGAACTAAGCTGTCTGTGGCTTCCATTAAGTAAAAAAAAAAATCTCATGATGCAGGTAATTACCAGTTTTTCACTTAGTTGGCAGATACCTTCTGTAAATTTCGGCGCATGGGATTTAGCCTTCTGTTGTGTCTCAGCTACTACATAGTCTTTCTGATCGTAAATTAGTTGATCTTTATGAAGATAGTCTCAGATGTGTGGGGTGTTGGGAGAAAGCCAGGTAGGATGAGGGACCTTTTGTGGCATGGCCTGTGTGTTCCTCACACACAGAAAAGGGGGCACTTTTTATTAATTCTTCCAACACCCCCTCCCCCAATCTATGCACTGATCATTGAGTTCAGTGATAGTTCAAGCGCTGTAAACCATATGCGTATTGGCTGGGGCTACTTTATTGGGTGGGGTTGGGGAGTAGTTCCACAAGGTGATTTTAAGGGCTTACTCCTGGCTCTGTGCTCAGGGGTTACTCCCAGTGGTGCTTGGGAGAACATATGTGACAACAGATATCAGACCAGGGCTAGCTGCTTGCAATGCAAGTACCTTATGCCTGTACATCTCTCTGGCCCCCCTTTTATTTAATTTTTTAAAAAAATTATTAATTGGGGGCTGGAGTGATAGCACAGTGGGTAGGGCATTTGCCTTGCAAGTGGCTGACCCGGGTTTGATTCCCAGCATACCCCTGAGTACTGCCAGGAGGAATTCTGAGTGCAGAGCTAGGAGTAATACCTGTGCATCGCCTGGTGTGACCCAAAAAGAAAAATATATATATATATATTAATTGAATCAGAGTGAGATACACAGTTACAAGGTTGTTCATGATTGGGTGTCAGTCATATAATGTTCCACCATCCATCCTTCCCTTCACCAGTGTACCACCAATGTCAATGTCCTCAGTTTCCCTCCTGTCCCCTTCACCAAGGCAGGCACTTCTCTCTCTCTCTCTCTCTCTCTCTCTCTCTCTCTTTCTCTTTCTCTTTCTCTCTCTCTCTCTCCCCTTTTGCAATACAGACACTGCATGGTTTGCAATACAGAAATGTTATCAGGTATATCCCTTTACCTGCTTTCCACATTCAGTTCCTGTCCAAAGTCTGGCCCCTTTTTGAAACAGTTTCAATCCACAGTGTCTGGGAGCTGAAAGGTCTAGAGTGTAGGAGGCCTCCACTTCATGGAACCCAGTATCACATGGCCCTCTGGGCATCGCCTGAGCCCCCCAATTCAAATGAAAGCATTTATGCACTTGAGTGTCTTTTGTCATCCTGATTCTGATAGGGTAGTGATCCTGTTCTTTATCATCTTGTCATCCTGCTTCTGATTGGGTTGCGAGCCTATTCCTTATTGTCATGTCTTCGGCAAGTTCTTTTATTGATAATTACTGCTGCCTGAGGCAGGTTATTTGAAAAGACCATCAATTTTCCTAAATTCCGTTATTAAGGCTCATCTGGGAATTTCCTGGAAAAATAAACCTATGATCTCCCATTATACCTTGAAGAGAATGGAGTGCAAATAGTCCGGGTCATGAGTGCATTGCTCAGCGTAAGAGCATGTTGGCACCTTAGCAAGCACCCTACAAAGCATGTCTAGAAAGAAAGAACAGGGTTGTTATTTTTTTTCTTCTTTTTTAATATCCAGAACACTGTGGACCCTTTATCTGCTGTTAAATTGAGCGTGACTTTCAAGCCATGCCTCCTAATTAATTTAATTCAGTGTTCTGGCATCAATAAGTAATTGAATTATGAAAGAATTCATTGTAACAATTTAGGACATTTTGTTGCTGAAAGGTTCATTAGAGAACAGAACAATTGAGTGATTGAAAGCAGGATGTCTGATGTTCACAGTTGGGAATCAGGGGTACCTAAGGTCCTCAGCAGAAGCAGTGACCACAGTGGGCTGCTGGCTACTACTCTCAGGTGTTAGTGTGGGCTGGAGGACATAAACCTGATATTAGAACATTCTGAAAACCAGCTGTTACTGCTGGCCTGGTCCTCCTTGTTCCCCTGCTGGGAATACACTTTAAGTGGTAGGTAGGAAGGTTCGGGTTCAGCCCAGGGGTCAGTGCTGAAGACCCTGAAAAGGGCTAATACTTTGATGATTGAAATTCCCAGGGTTAATGGGTTCCCAGAATTTTCACATGCCTATTCACTTTCCAATGGATATAATAAGCTCTTTATAGGAGCATTTGGTGTAATGCTCTTGGGGTGCAACTTATGTGAGCCCCCACACTCTGTCCTTTGGGGAAAGCTGTGGGGAGGCAGATCAGGGATATTCCCCTCTCCCTGCTAGGCTGAGTGCGGAGTTTAATGTCTCAGCCACCATAACGCTTTGCTTTATTTTACAGAATGAATGGATATCAGACCGATTAAGTAACCAGCAATCTCTGTTAGTACAGACGTAACAGCTTTCCTCAAGGAAATGGTTCTTATGAGGGACCAGGAAAGGCACCTTGAGAAAGAGCAATAATGAAGGCCCAGAGGAGAACTGCGAGGATGTGACCCAGCTAACATTCAGAATCGTTTCTGAAGGGGCGTGTGTGCACGTGTGTGCTAGATGAGATTTGTATTGCTCCATGCTTCATTTTCCTGATGAGGAAAGAGGGGGTCATGGAGATGTCGTGCTATCATCTTGCTTTTGTATCTCTGGAAACTATTTGACAGATCATAAAGTCATAGAATGGCAGGTGTACACTGTGTTTGCACAGTGGCTTTCCCGGGGAGCCTCATGTTCTTGGGACACAAATGTTCAGATTGTATCAGGCCCTCTTGGACAATGAATCATGTCTGAAACTGTATCCTGGTGTCCACATGCAGCCTACCGCAGGAAAGCCAGTCTAGCCTGGAGCCCCACTTCCCAAGGCTGGAGTTATTGCAGTGGGTAGGGCTCTTGCCTTGCACTTGTCTCTCCTGGGTTCAATCCCCAGCACCCCATAAGGGTTGTCCAACCCCACCAGGAGTGATATCTACAGAGCCAGGAGTAAGCCCTGACCTCTACTGGGTGTGGTCGAAAAACTAAAAAAGAAAAAAAAAATCTAGGCTGGAATTACAACTTTTACTTTGTTTTGCTATAGGTTTGTTTTTTTTATTTTCCTGAAACCATATTTTAAACATAAAAATCCAACTGTACCATTGGAACATGCACTTAGGTGTGTGGGCTTGTGGTGAGGCTCCTGAGAAGGGGAGGAAATCTTTTTTTTTTTTATTAGTGAAACATCATGAGGTACAGTTGTAGATTTACAAATTTTTGTGCTTGGGTTTCGATTATACAATGATCAAATACCCATCCCTCCACCAGTGCCCATTTCCCACCACCACGGATCCCAGTATCCCTCCCACACCTATCCCCCCCATCCCACCCTGCCTCTGTGGCAGGGCATTTCCTTTTGTTCTCTCTCTCCTTTTGGGTGTTATGGTCTGCAAAAGAGGCATTGAGTGGTAATCATGTTCAGTCCATAGTCTACTTTCAACATGCATCTCCCCTCCTGGGAGGATCCTCCAAACACCCTTTATTTGGTGCTCCCTTCTCTATCTGAACTGCCCTTTCCCCTGGAATGCCCGGCTGGCTTCTAAGTCATGGAGTAATCCTCCTGGTACTGATCTCGGCTATTCTTGGGTATTAATGTCCTATTTTGTTACTTTATATCCCCCAGATGAATGCATTCTTTCTATGTCTATACCTCTCTTTCTGAGTCATTTCGCTTAGCATGATACTTTCCATGTTGTACCACTTGTATGTAAATTTCATGACTTCATCTTTTCTAACAGCTACATAGTACTCCATCGTGTATATGTACTAAAGTTTCTTTAACCAGTCATCTGTTCTTGGGCACTCAGGTTTTTTCCAGATTCTGGCTATTGTAAAGAGTGCTGCAATGAACAAACAAGTGCAGATATCACTTCGACTATACATTTTTGCCTCTCTGGGATATATTCCCAGGAGTGGTATTGCTGGGTCAAATGGGAGCTCAATTTCTAATTTTTTAAGAATCGTCCATACTGTTTTCCAAAAGGGCTGAACTAGTCAGCATTCAAGGGGAGGAAATCTTGTGCATGAAAATATGGGAGGATTCAGGGCATCTCA